TGAAGCTGAAACTCCAATACTTTGGCCACCTCATGCGAAGAGTTGACTCATTGGAAAAGACCCTGATGCTGGGAGGGATTGGGGGCAGGAGGAGAAGGGGAGACAGAGGATGAGATGGCTGGATGGCATCACTGACTTGATGGGCATGGGTTTGGGTAAACTCCAGGAGTTGGTGATGGACAGGGAGGCCTTGCGTGCTGTGATTCATGGGGTCTCAAAGAGTCAGACACGACAGAGTGACTGAACTGAACTCAAGGGCAGCTTTTTAATCGAGAGCAGGAGCAGGACTTAGTGGCCAAGATCAGGCTTTGCAACCAAGTTTCCTGGGTTAAATTCCACATGTGTTTCATCATCTGTTGACTTGTGGTACCATCTACCTCCAGGGTGATTGTAGGCATTAAATGAGATTATACAAGGAAAACGCTTAGAGGGGTTACACAGCACAGAGAACATGTTAGCTAGATTTTGTTCTAGACAAAACCACACACCTCCTTAACCTTCCCCCAGGGATGACATTTCTCCCTATCATGTATCTCTGCTACTTCTGAGCCCACTCCTGCTTCTGGAAGATGAGGGGGTTGGGTGGGAGGACACGTTTCCTGCCAAAACTTTCTGGTGAGTCTGGTTAAAAACAGTATAGACCAGCATGACACAATTCCTTAACTTGTCCCTGCAGTGTTAAGCCTCTTGCATACAAACCTCATTCCCTCTCCTCTGCCTGGCCTTGGCCACAGCCCCAGGGTCAGGCTGCAAGTTTGATAATAAGTCAGAAAAAAAATCAGTCAGTATTGCTAACGGTTGGGCAGATGACAAGGGGTGAGAGGCATTGAGATGGTGCAGGTGGAAGATGAGAGTCTGATTAAATGAACAATGAGAGTCTGATTAAATGAAATTAAATGAACAATACAGGAATCTCACTCTTCCCGTGGGCCACCCGCCTTGTCAGGGACCAGGGTCCTGGGTTCCAACTCAGACCAAGAATCCCAGGCCCCTCTCCATTTGAAACTAAACTAATAGAAAGTGGACTTTTGTGGCCCTATTTTTTTTTTCCCTGCACACATGTGGTTTGTGGGCTCTTAGTTCCCTGACCAGGGATTGAACCCAGGTCCATGCCAGTGAAAGCCCAAGTCTTAATCACTGGACCACCAGGGAATTCCCTTAGAATCCAAGTTAATGTCCTTTTTTCTATGACCTGAAACGCGGGCCACATTTTCTACAAAAGGCAGGCAGGAGGATTCTTGGGTCTGAGCTCTTCAACTCTTCATGGAGCAAAATAAATTGACTCTAACTCTGTTCTTTTTTTTCTTCTTCTTTTTTCTCTTAGGGACCCTGGGCATTCATGAAGAAGGTCATTTCTTCAGAGCCACAGAGGGGCAGGTTTCTGAAGGTTTAACATAGCACTGGTTTACCATAGCATTGCCTATTTTCCTGATATGAGTTATTTTCCTCTGACTCTCCCTGGAGAGGACTCAGGACTCTTAGGACTGCATGAAAGTGGGGTAAGGAGAGGCTGGTCAAGGGAGCTGAGGTTCCTCATGGACTGGACCAAGGGTTGGAAAGAGGTTAACGTCTCTTTTGTCCTCACTGGAAACCTGGTGGGAGGTGGAGGGGGGAGGGAAGAGGGGATGTCAAAGATATCTCAAGAGCACTGTGTTAGCTGTGTGGACAGACAGCAAGTCACATCTCCTGTCCAGCCAGCCCTGCCAGCCTTTGCCTGTTGTGTGAGCAGACAGTCAATGCTTCAAGACTGGAGAAGCATCTGGATGAAGAGGTAGGTGATGCTTCCAGAATTCTGACTAGTCAGAGGTGTCACAGATTGAACTGTGTCCCTTGAAAAAGATATGTTGACATCTTAACCCCCCTCCCCCAAGCCTCGGAACGTGACCTCATTGGGAAACAGAGTCATTGCAGCTGAAATGAGCTAACTGCAGATGAGGTGACATTGGGGTGGCATGGGCCCCAAATCTCACAAGACCGGTGTCCTTAAGAGAAGCCAGTCACGTGGACACAGGCCCAGGGAGAAGGCTGTGTGTGCAGCTGAAGGCAGAGACTTCAGTGACACAGCTGCAGGTCAAGAAATGCCTGACACTGCCAGCAACCATCAGCAGCTAGAAGGCGAGAAAGGAGCCCCTCCCGGCTTCAGAGGGAGTGTGCCCCTACTGAGACCTCCATGCCGGGCATCAGCTTCCTGAGCCGTGTGAGAAGCCATTCTTTGGTTCCAGGCCCTCGAGCCTGTGGTCCCTTGTTATGGCAACTTGAGGTCACTGGACAGAGAAGGGGACACGGCAGCAAGGCCACTGACAGGAGCCCTCCCTGTGCCAGCCTACCAGGTGCTGCCCTGGGTGGTGGGGCGGGGTGGGGGACCCCACACAAGCTATGCATCCCAGGATGGGGGCCTCATTGCCTGAGCCCTGCATCCCATTCTCCAAATCCTGTAGGTCTGGGCCGTTTTCCTTGAAAATTAAGTCCTAAAAAATCCAGTTCATTTGGATTTCCTCAGTGATGGAGGGTGCAGACAGACCCTTTCGCATCCCTGCAGAGAGGGCAGTGACACCTGCAGGGGTGCCCCTGCCTCTTGGGGACGACGCGGGTCCTGGGGCTGGGGTGGGGATGGGGCCGGGCTCTCCGGTCCTGGAGGATGCTTCCTGGCTGAGGCCACGTGGCCACTGCAGCGTGAGCTCTGGCTGGCTGCTCCTCACGTCCACTCTCAATGCGGGAGAGTGGGTGGTTTGGCCTGCTGCAGGCAGGAAAATGAGCTCAGCCTTGAGTTTCACTTTTCCAGAGTTGAGTTTGATGGGGCTGACTTGGCAGATGGAGATGTGGGCAGCTATCTTCCCCAGGGAGAACCTGGAACCCAGAAGCTGAATTTCTTTCACAGACCACACAGTAACCTGGCCAGAGGGCCTGGGGTTGTTCACTGTTTCTTGCCTGAGAGCTCCGACCTCCTCACACAGCACGGCACCCAGTGCCCCTTCCTTTGCTGCCTGACCCCCTGGCACTTTGGGGGTGCCCCATGGGCCCGCTCCCCCTGATCTGCTTTTGCCAGGGTAGAGCCCGGGAACCTGGGCATTAGCAGGCCGCGAGGGGTGGGTGGGAAGCAGGAAGGCGCCGGAGGTTTGGCAGAGGCCCAGAGGGCCAGCTCCAAAGACAGTGAGAAAAAAGTCTAAGTGTCTTCTACCTCTTTCCTTCCTGAGCTCTTAGGACAGGGAGGAAACAGCAGGGTTGGAAGATTCAGGGATGAGTGTCAGGATATGTGACCCAGAGTAAATCAATCTCCGTGCCTCGGTTTCCCCATCTGTTAAACGGGGACAGGAACGACCTGTATCGGTTACAGTCCTTGGGAGGATTTTTTTTTTTCCCTTGGGAGGATTTAAATGAAATTTAGAGTTAAGTGCCTGGCACATAATGAGCATGTAATCAACACAGGAAAGAATAGTGGAATTTCCAGGCAAAAGAATAGTGGAATTTCAGGCCAGCGGGTTTTTTGAGCTGTTGATTACCCTATCCTGCTGTGACTTCAGCCAGCAACTCTAGCTTCCCTTGGAGACCTCCTGGCTCTGGAGACAGACTCCCTGAATTCAGATGCCAGTCTGAACACTTTCTGTGTAACTGCAGGTGAACAATTTATCCCTTTGAGGCCTTAACTTCCTTATCTGTACAACAGGGATAGCAGTAGCTGCCTTACAAGGAAGGCAAGGCCTTAAAGTCCTTCACGTCGAGGGCTGGGTGGAGCGCGGGCCACAGGAGGCGCACAGCTGGGTTTCCTCTGCCTGCCACAGAGTCGCCAGGCAGACAGGAGGGAAGGCCCAGGGTGAGCTGTTACCTGAACCCGCCCTTGTGGGTGTCACTCAAGTGGCAGGTGCCTCCATGCAGACAGGGGTTCTGAATGCAGGTGTTGACGGGCACGGTGCAGTGTCTGCCCTGAGGAGAGAGAGAAGCGCGTGGTGAGGGAGGCCCTCCACGGCCGCCGTGAGGAGGAGGCTCCATGGGCTCCCAGCTCCCTCTGGGACGAGGGCAGGGGGTGGTCGCCCTGGGCTCTGGGACAAGCGAGCTGTCTGCGTGACCCGGGGAAAGCCGAGGGAGCCCCTGCCTTGGGTCTCTCCATGGTGCACGGTGCGGGGGACGAGTGCCAAGCTCAGGACCGGGGCCCCCAGCCCCACTACTGCCCAGACTTCACCCCCTCTTCACCATCCCAACCCACAGGCTGAGAGCAGGGGCTCTGGAGCCTGGAAGAGCTGGTTCACCTCCCAGCTTCACCTCTTCATGGTTGGCTGACCTTTACCTTGTATTAGCTTTTTAACTTCTACAAGCCTACCTCAAAGAGCTGTTACCAGAGTTGAACTAGACCTTTCAATAAGGAAGTGCTTAAAATATTACATAACACATCTAGCACATAGTAGGTACTCTATAAATGCCAGTAGATGATATTATCACTAACCTCACTGAGGCGTAACTGTCATCTACAACTTGGAGGGTAGACCATGGCTGAAGTGCGGTCAACAGACCTCGGCCCTCTAAAGTGACAAGCTCCCAGGGAGTTGTCTCTGATTGGTCCAGACGTGAGCATGGGTGTTGCTATTTGCTCTTAAGTTCTCTGGGTGATCCTGATGGTAGGCTACCCTGAGACCCCCTGTGAGAGAAATTTTGGGCAGAGTGGGATTTCTCTGTACCAGGCACCCTGAAGGGGATGTGTGAGCTAAGAAGGTGCCAACTGTGTGCAGGTGGGGAAGAGCATGCCAGGGAGGAGGAACCGTGAGGGCAAAGGCGCCGCAGAGACAGGCCTCCGTCCCAGGGAGTTGCCCCAGGCTTGGTCCTCTGCCACCAGCTTCTCCCATGGCACCGATGGACCGGCACTGCACCCAGGTTTTGGCAGCCGGTTCCCTGGACGACCTGTGCAATCTGGCGGGGGGGGGGGGCGGGAGAGGGATGTCTGCTGCGTTTGCTTCTGGGCTGTGGGCTCAGTGTGGGCGTGGGGCCAGGCGGGGGCCATCACGGGAGCCCTCCCACCGCCACACCACCTGCTCACCATCTGCCCAAGAAAACCCTCCTGCCCACTCTGCCACTGCTGCCCGTGCCCGCAACGAGAGGCACTGGGCCTCCTGGCTGGACCCTCCTGTGCTCTGCCTTCTCCCACTGCCTCGGCTCTGCCGCCTCAGGTCCTGCCTCCAGCAGCCGGAAGGCAGGGGTGCATCTGTCCGCTGCTTTTCGTGCCTTTCACAGGTTTCTGGGAGGGGAGGAAGTCTGGGGTGGGATCTGGGCTTATCCTAAGCCAGAGCAACATGGGGTCCCTTTCTGCAAGCCCGTGTGTCGATGGAAACTGCAATGCTCATTCTCACTCCCATATTAGGAGTACAGTTTCTGTTCCAGGACTCATGCTGAGTTTCACATTCACAATGGTGTACAATGTTCATAACACCCCTACAACATGGGTGTGGTTGTTATTACCCTCACTCTTACTGAGAGGGAGGATGGACTTGGAAAGTGAAGCAATAGGTCCGCTCTCGCACAGCGGTGTGGAACCAGCACAGCTGAACCCAGACATCCAGTCCAAAGCCAGTTCTGAGAACTGCTCGCTGGGCGCTTACTCTGCCTCTCTCAAAGCACAGGCTCTGCAGGTAGGCAGATCTGAGCGCACATGCTGGTCTGACTGCTGCTGCTAAATTGAGGAAATTACCAGTTCTCTCTGAGACTTGTTTTCATTATCTGTAAAATGGCAATAATAATACCTATTGTATGGATTTAACAAATGATTAGAAATCACACTCATCTAAGGCACCTGACCCTGGCAGATAATGGTAGCTCATAAATAAGAGATATTCAGATACAGACCATGATGATGATAGGGTCTGAGATAGGTTTTTGGGTTTCCCTGGTGACTCAGATGGTAAAGAATCCACCTGCCATGCAGGAGACCTGAGTTTGATCCCTGGGCTGGGAATATCCCCTGGAGAAGGAAATGGCTACCCACTCCAGTGTTCTTGCCTGGAGAATCCCATGGACAGAGGAGCCTGGTGGGCTGCTGCCCATGGGGTTGCAAAGAGTCGGACACCACCTAGTGACTAAAGAGCAACAGCAACTGAATAGTGAAGGATGTGTTGTGAGTGTGTCTGTGTCTGTGTGTTGGTGGATAAATGGGCCTGGGCTGCAGGACCTGCCTCAGCAGGTCAAGGCATGGCCTCCCTGATTCCTGCCTGGCCAGTGTCTTTGCTCTGGGGACCTGCAAGTCCCAGGGGCTCCCGGGGGATTCCTCACCTGGGGTGGGGCAGGGGTGGAGGTGGTGTCTCCTCTAGCCCTGGATGCCACAGGGCACTGGAATCCAGGAAGCAGAGCCTGCATTTGGCAATGTGGTGCCTGGGCCCAGAGGTGGGGATTTCTATCATTTACAGGCTCTTCAGAAACAACCACCATGGTTAACACCTGGCCAGTTAGCTTAGTTCTACTCTCTTGAGCCTCATTTTGCTCATACCACTATATCTGTAACGTTCCTTGGTTATCTCCCATGACCCCCTCCCTATGGTGTGTGTATGTGGTAGAGGTAGGACTGGGACTTGGCCAGGACTTCTAGGTTCCTTTACAGGATCTTGGAAATAACCAACCCCACTGGAGTCCTGTTTCTGAGATGGGGCCAGCAGGGTAGCTCTAACACCTTGCTACTCAAAGAGTGGTCCTTGGACTACCAGCCTGGTGTCCCCTGGAAGCTTGTTAGACATGCACAATCTCAGACCCGATCTCAGATCTAATGAATCACAGCCTGCACTTTAACAAGGTTTCTGTACACCTTAAAGAGTGAGAAGCACTATTCTGAGACACTGAACATATATGCATGAAGCTAAATCGCTGCAAAAAAATCAGTCAAAATTTCCATTTTATGTTCTCAAATCCTAGAATCATGGTGAGAGTTATACTTTGTTAAGTGTCTACTGAATGCTGGTACTGAGGCAGGCCAAGACACACGTGACCCCTTTTAATCCTTACAACACCTCTGCAGTGAGGATGGTTATTCCCATTTACAGGTGATAAAAGTGAGGCTACAGAGAGTCAGTTACTAGTGGAGGGCTTAGTATAGTCTCTGCATCAAGAGCTGGGCTCTGGATTTAGCGAATGTGTTCCTCGGGTGTGTGAGCTTGGGTATATTTTTCAATTTTTCTGAACCCTCGGTATCCTCATCTATCAAAAGAGATTGTCCTTCTTTCAGAGGACAGTTAAGAGTATTAAGTGAGATAATGCACTTAAACTTTCTCAGGGACCTGGCATTATAACAGATGTACAGTAGCTGCTACTGAACATTCAGCAGTGGTTGCCACGCTATTCCTATAATACTGTGGCCGCTTAAGGTCACTCACTAGTCACTGGAAACATGGAGAGCTCTAGGAACAGCTAGATAAATGCTAGAACTTTGAGCTGCATTTTGCAGCTGTCTGGCGACTGTTGTCATCTTAGCAATTCACCCAGAACTACTATGCCAATCACTCTGCTGGCAGAAAGGAAAGCAGGCATAACCAAAAAGAGTGTGATCAATATGCGATAAAGGGACCCCTCTGGTTCAGTCTGCTGCATTTTACTGTGGAGGAGCCTGAGACGGGTGGGGAGGAGAGCCAGAGCTGTCCAAGGTCATGTCAGGTAGAGACAAGCTCCGGAGGGTCCCGGTGGTGTTCTTTTCACCACCACTCTGTGTATTTCCCTGTCCTGGAGATTCAGGCAGGTTATAAATGGCCAAGGACCCTCATCTGCAGCCATGTCATGGTGCCTGCAAATGGGCAGTGAATGCACTGGCTGAGGGCATGTATTTTGGAACCAGTTGACTTTGAGCTTTGAATCCTGGCTAAGGCTTTGATGAGGACTATGCAGGATAATGCATGTAGCTTGTTTAGCACACTGCCAGCAGGCAGTAAGCACTCAGTAAAGCCAGCTGTTAACAGTACTATCATGGTCACCACCACCACCAGCAGCATCATCCTATCACCATAATCATCACCACCATCAGCATCCTATCACCATGAGCAGTAGCAGCAGCAATGTACTTTATACCTGCCTGGGCCCTTCAACTTCCTAAACATCAAAATCTCTGTTCAAATTCTTCCAAAATTGGCAAGATGTTCAGGATCTTATAAGCAAAACCCAAACACATAGCAGTATCCTGCAGGAACCCCAGGGGTGCACTCTGCTCTGACACCGAGGGCCAGGCAAGCTTCACACTGTCCTCAAGTGTGATGGGAAGAAGCCTGGGTCTTTGAGTCTGGCTCCAGTACTGTCAGACTCAGGCCAACTTTAAGGTGAGGGAAGTGAGACTTAAGAGTGTGAAGTAGTTATCTTTAACATAGGGATGACACCACCCACCTCACAAGGTGATTATAAACAGCAGAGGAAGGAATAAATGCATGAGGTCTAGGTGCCTGGTGCATAGTTGATGCTTAAAAAGATGACTACACATGTACAGAATTGGGGATGTCATACATGTCACAGCTCTAGGAAAGCAGCAGACACTCCTTGGGAGTTCAGTGTCACAGACTGATAATCCCCGGTGAAACCACCTGTTCCCGAGAGCCACCACCCTGGCATTAGGGACCAGCAGGAGGCTGAAGGCAAAAGGCAGCCATATATCAGCTATTGAGTACTTACTGAGTACTAGGTACTGTTCTAGGTACACTGCATGTGTCATTGTACATCTGCTTCTCACAGCAAGACTTTGGGATGGGTCCTATCCTAGTGGGCAGATGGGAAGCCTAAGGTGAAGCCACTGGTTATCACCACACAACTAGGAAATGACAAAGCCGGGATCGACACCTGCTGATCAGTATAAATCCATAACCTGAGTTTTCTCCATTGAATATAAAGGAATTTGAGGATCCAGGTCTCTGGAGCATGTCTGCTTAATTTCTAGTCTTCCCCTACAATATGTATACATATATGGTGCCGTGGTAAAGAACCTGCCTGCCAACGAAGGAGACATAGATACATGGGTTTGATCCCTGGGTTGGGAAGATCCCCTGGAGGAGGGCATGGTAACCCATCCCAGTCTTATTGCCTGGAAAATTCAATAGACAGAGGAGCCTGGCAGGCTACAGTCTATGGGGTCACAAGAGCTGGACATGACTGAGTGACTAAGCACATGTATGTAAGTGTGTATATGTGTGTGTGGGGGGGCATGAATCTGGGACGACCGTGAGTTTGAGGTCTTGGAGTTGGCTGCACAACTGAGCGACTGAGCACATGTATGTAAGTGTGTGTGTGTCTGGGACCACCTTATATATGTGTGTGTATATGTGTGTGTGTGTCTGGGGTTGGCTGCCTGGGCAGGGAGGGCCATCTGCCCAGCTTCAAAGAAATCCTTTGGCTGTCTTGTCTCAGGCCTACAGATGGCACTCTGACACTGTCTACTGGAGGCATGGCTGTAGCAGAGACAGTCACCTCGGAGGCCTGTTGCCCAGAGCCAGTCTGCCTGTCAAGCTTGTCACTATACCCACGGATCCCCCTGGGGACAGAAGACCAGGGCTGCCAGCTCCTTCGCACTCAGCTTGGACCAGGTGTGTGCCTCAGACGGTCTGGGCACTGTCTGCAGACTCTCGGTTCACCTAGAGCCTTCCGATGGGGGCCCTGGGATGCTGGAATCTGGGAAGCTGGGAGGGTTGCGGGGAAGAGGACCCAGTCATGGCTTTGCTGGCCCCTGTGAGGCACGCTGAAGGGCTCAGTTATCCAGGAAACCCTCCAGGGGAAGGGGGCGGGCTCAGGAATCATATAGCCCTGGGTCCTAACCCAACCCGACTGCTTACAAGCTTGGGACATTGAGTCAAGCTCTTTCAACAGGTCTGCGGCTCAGTTTCCATGTCTGTAAAATGAGAATTCATAAATCCTTCCTCACAGAGGAAAAGATGAATAAAGTGCCAAGCAGAGTGCATAGGACCTCTTCCATTCTCTCCAGAGGTTAATGTGCTGTAGATGTGGCAGGGAGAGGAGGAAGGAGGCAAGGGTTATTCTGGAATTAGCCTGGGTGTCCAGGGAGGACAGGAGAGCTGAAATGTCCATCCCGGCTTGGCTGTGCTGAGCCTGTCAACAGGGAAGGTTGACTCGGCAGCCTGTAGGCCTGTTAATCCCCATCCTTGAACCTCCTCAAGCTGGAACCAGCGCTTTCAGGACTGGTTGTTCTGAGAGCAGAGAGGGGTCAGGGGTGGGGGAGACTCAGGAATCCCCCTGTAAGGAAGTCAGGATGCTGGTGGGTTCGAGGGATGTCTCTAATTGGAGGCAAATTAACTCCTGAGACTTAATCTGCCCACGTTCAAGTAAGAAAATACAAGTATTACATTTCTTGCTCATCTCGATGCATCACTGTCAAGACTATAGCGGTCTTCTATTGTACGGCAGAGGGATCTTTGCTCACTGTTATGTACCAGCCTGGACGGGAGGGGGATTGGGGAGAATGTATACACATATATGTATGGGTGAGTCCCTCTGCTGTCCACCTGAAATTATCACGTTGTTAACTGGCTATACCCCAATACAAAATAAAAAGTTTAAACTTTGGAGGGAAAAACCCAAAAAAACTGCAGAAAAAAAAAAGACCACATGAGGTCCTCTGTGATTGGCGTGGATGTGATACCACTGGGAAGGCCCCACCAGTTCTGGGGGTTTGCCGACAAATACTGCTTTGGGGCCAGCTGTAAAGTGGACGTATCCACTGTCCTTGGAGAAGGGATGGTGAGCAGGGCGCAGCGCCCCCTGGCAGCCTGGAAGGTGGGGGTGGCCTGCGTACCTTGTAGCCATGGGGGCAGGCGCAGCGGTACAACTCGGCCGGGTCCCGGCTGCACGTGCCGTTGTTCTTGCACGGGCTGGAGAGGCAGGGGTCGCACTTGGCCACGATGTTGATGTCCACTGGCCCTGACGGCAAACCACAGAGAGTCGGCAGGCGGTCCCCCAGGAGGCTCGCTGCCACCCCTCCCTTCTCTGCCCTGGCTCCTTCCTTCTCAGCCACCAGGCTCTCATCTCTGTCCAGACGGCGGCTGGCCCTCTCCAGCCAGTGCATCCAGTCCAGCTAGAGTCCCATTAATTCAGCCATCATCCGGAGAGGAAGAAAGTCACAGCGGGACATCATTCAGAAGCACTTCTCAGTCAAATCAATTACTCTAATTAGCCTGATCCGATTTTGGTGCTAATCTGCAAACAATGCACCATAATTAGAAACCCCTTGTGTATCTTTTTCTATTCGGGAAGCTCCAGGCCCAGGCTCCACTGGGACCTCCCGTCCCTCCTTCCCCAAACACCTCTCCCCACAGGGTAGTCTGTGCCAGGCTACGGAGGGCTCAGAAGCTGGGCCAAAGGCGCACAGAGGAAGTCCTCCTTACAGAGCCCTGGAGTCGGCGGGAGGAGGCGAGACACGCCCGGGAGACGCAGCAGCGGTGCTCACAGCGGCCAGCCGGGCTCGAGTGTATTTTGCGTCCCTGACAGTTTCAGCCCGGCCCTGTTCCCCTCGGCCGTCAGGGCTGGGAGCAGGGCGGCCGTGTCCCTGCACAGAGCTTCCCACAAGGGCTCAGCCACCAGTGCTGCCAGCGCGGACAGAGTCCTGGATGGTCACGCCCTGCCTCACGGCAGAACGTTCAGGACCTGCGGTAACAGTCATCAGTTTGGAGACTGGGCTCAGGCTGACCCCAGAGTGAGTCTGACCATTGTGGGGTGGTGAACAGAATGGCCTGACTGAGAACCAGCGCCGCTTGGCTCAGTCTTGGCTTCACTGAAGAACAGGGCATTGTCTGTTCTAGAGAAACTGTGTTCCGGGGACATAATGAAGTTTAGAGGTAAAGCATATCTGTAAATCAAAATAAATATCGAGACCTTAGGAGATAAGTAAAGGACATTAACAGACAAATGTGTAGTAGAAATGGAAAGTAAGTTTTTGGGGAAAAAAAAAAGTTCCCCCAATAACCAAAGGCAAAATATAAAGGTATACAATATTTTGCCTATTGAATTAGCAATGATTACAAAATGAGATAAAATAATTCAAGGGTCTGATGAAAACTGTACTCTACTAGGATACAACAGTACAACTGTATGCTACTAGGAGTGAAAATTGGTTACAACCCTTTCTGGAAATCAATTTGGCAATAAATGTGAAGACCTTTGTAATGATCATATACTTTGGCTCAGTAATTTCTGTTCTCTGAATCTTATCTAAGGATGTAATTTTAAATAGAGACAGACTTTTATGCAGCCATGGTAAGGAAAAAAATTGGAAATACTCTAAAAGTTCAAACTCAGGAACTGGTTAAATTCCTGTGGAGTTATGGTGGAGTGTCACAGCTTGGTGATCAAGACCATGCTCTGGAATCAGAAAGACCTGGAATTCTCTTAACGGTGTAATCTTGAGAAGTCAACTAACCTCAGTAAGCCTCAGGTTTCTCATTTTGGCAAATTAAATGACTCCATGGAAAGTGAGAATTAAATGAACAATACATGAAAAACTGCTTAACAGAATGCCTGCCATAGAATAAGAACCTACTAGTAGTTTGTTATCATGATAATTTCAGTCAATCAAAATCTCATGAGATCAAAGTATGCTATAGTAAAATGGGAAAATGCTTATGCTCTAAGAATGTTGGGTAAAAAAATTCAGGTTAAAGATTTTCCCAACTATGCAAAAATAGGTAAAGAAAGAAGTCAATGAGGAATACATAGAAATAGCAGCAACGGACTTAGGGGAACAAATGACAAATGGATACTTAGATGTAGGTCTACATTGGTTTCAGCACCTGAGTCTTTGTGTGGCCCATGGAAGAAAGGGGACAGTGGTTTTAGAAGTCACACTTGTTGAGATGCCTAGCTCTGACGGGCTGTTGGAGAAAGGGCAGACCCTACGCGGGAAGGGGGGGCAGAGGTGGGTGGAGGGGTGGGCCAGCACCTACCTTTGCACTGGAAGCGGTGGGTGGGCGTGGTGAGCAGAAGTCGGTCAGCCATGGGCTCAGGGCTACTGCAGCGGGCGATGCCAGGCTCCTTGTACCCAGCTTTCACCCACTCTGACAGCCAACGGAGGCTGCAGTCACAGTGGAGTGGGTTGGTTCCCAGTGCCCTAGGAGGCAGAGCAGAAAATCAGGGTCCCCTGCCCAACCTGGCCCATAGGCTCCAAAATCTTGGCCCCTTGAAAAGATAGAATATTTAGACTTTGCCTAGACTGGGGGTGTCCAACAGCAGGACCAGCAAAGATATTATTCCCACTGGGGTGAAGTCAATGACTTCAGACTGTATCTCCAATCCCTGAAGATGTTTCAACCCCACACAAGCCCCTCCCCTCTCTGAGGCTTGGTCTCATCTACCCTGGTGAGATTCCCATCCTCAACTCACCCCCAATTCCAGCCCCTCCAGGAGGCTTCCTGGGCCTTCTGCCATTGATTACCTGGCTCTCGCATCCCACTAAAGGGTGCACTGGAGGATATACTCGGAGAGAGGGTTTTGATACCCAGCAACCTAGGAAGCAGTTTCAGACCACCAAAAGGGGCTCAGAGCATGCCAGCTTCAAATATACTGCGTTGGCTATTGACTGTTTTGAGCTGAAGGCACTTACGAAACACGAGATGGTGTTTCTGCCTAAAAGCAGGTCATATTTCCTATGAGAAAGGTACCCTCCCTGCACTAGAAAGAAAAGAACATTCTTATCACCAGAGACTGGGAGTTGACACCAGAATGGATCTGTACAAACAAACCTACTAAAATATTTCCTAGTCACTGTCCCATGACTTACTGCCTCTCACCCAAGCCCCTTTGTCTTGTTACGTGGGTGCATAGTAACTTAGTTGTGCCTGACTCTTTGCGATGCCTTGGACAATAGCCCGCCAGGATCCTCTGTCCATGGGGATTTCCAGGCAAGAATATTGGGTGGATTGCCAGGCCCTCCTCCAGGGGATCTTCCCAACCCAGGGATCAAATCCCCATCTCCTGCATCTCCTGCATTGGCAGGTGGATTCTTTACCGCTGAGCCAACAGGGAAGCCCTTTGTCTTGTTATAGCCCCACACTTTATCATTCTCTCTATAGAAACATAATCAGGAATTCCCTGGTGGTCCACTGATTAGGGCTCTGCGTTCTCACTGCTGTGTGCCCAGGTTCAATCCCTAGCTGGGCAACTATAAAACTAAAAATCCCACAAACCACACAGCACGATCAAGAGAAAAAAAACAAAAACAAAAACAGAAAAACGTCTATCAACTTTGGGGCTCAACAGTTTCTTTGGATTTTCAATTTCCTTTTGAAGACTCCCATGTACACTTTATATTTTTATAATATTAAGTGATCTGTATGCTTTTCTCCCGTTAATGTGTCTTATGTCAGGCTGGCCACAGAACCAAAGAGGATATAAGGAAATTTTCCCTCCCCTATAGCACTCAGCTTCAAAATGTGGGGGAGGGAAGCCTCCAAAGAAAGACACCTTCAGTACAGATACCTCCAAAGTGCTGTCTGGGAAGAAAACATGAAAACTTCCACTGAGTTTTAACCATAGTCTTTTCTGGGCTTCCCTGATAGCTCAGCTGGTAAAGAATCTGCCTGCAGTGCAGGGACCCTGGTTTGATTCCTGGGGCGGGGAGATCTGCTGGAGAAGGGATAGGCTACCCACTCCAGGATTCTGAGGCTTCCCTTGTGGCTCAGCTGGTAAAGAATCCACCTGCAATGTGGGAGACCTGGGTTTGAGCCCTGGGTTGGGAAGTTCCCTTAGAGAAGGGAACAGCTACCCACTCCAGTATTTGGGCCTGGAGAATTCCATGGACTGGGTCGCAAAGAGTCAGACACGATTGAGTGACTTTCACTTTTAATTTTCTAGTTTTTGAATATTTTATAATATGTATGTATATCAGTATTGTAGTATATATGCACAATATGAAAATAATTAAATACACAGAGAGTCTATATATAAACTCAAACATGTTCACTGGGAGAGATATGCAATAGCTAATATTTAGGGGCCTCAGTATCGCCTGTGTGAAATGGGAGGGGCCACCTGATGCTGAGTTCAGACAGCATCTGTGTTTTGGCATCAAGGCAAATGTGGATTTGAACCAGGTCTTTGCCACCCACTAGCTGTGCAACCCCTGGACCAAGTCTTCAGTTTTCTTAACTTCAGTTTCACCATGTCTCATAATGGGATAAAAATGCCTTATTTGCTATAAGAAATACATGAGATAATTCATTTAAAGTGTTGAGCACATAGTAAGAGTTTTATGTTCACTCTTATTAAACATTTACATTGTTTACATAATTGATGATGATGTCCATGAAGGCATCTGAAGCAGGGAACACACAATGTACACAGTGTGGGCACGTTTCTGTAAATAAAACACGTTCCATACATATGGAAAGAATCACACCAAGGTGGTAACAGTGACACTACTATCCCTGGCATTACAATCTTTTCTGTTTTGAGTAGATGCATGAGGGGAGAAACAGGGCTACTTACAGATGGGAAAGAGACGTCAGGTCATTGAAGGAGCCTTCGGGAACACTGGAGATGTCGTTGCCGTGGAGGGTTCTGAAGCAGAAGCACAGATCAGATCAACTTTCAGTGAGAGCTCTGAGCTCAGTACCCTCTCCCGGCGTCCCAGGCCGGCTAGTCAAGCCTCCGAGCACACAGCCCTGCTCCGGCCGCAGCAGGGGATGTCTCCTTTAAGTCACGGGCATGGATGTTTCCGCACCCAGCTCAGAAGCAGGAATGCAGTGGGTAGAGGGTTTGGGAAAGACCAAGATGAATTAGACGTGGGATGGAATCAGAAATCAGTCCCTTTCAGCTGTGGAACACTGGGTGAGTTACTCTCCTTTTCAGGGCCTCCGTCTTTACACCTGAGAAATGGAGAGAGACAGCTATCTAACGGAGACGCTGGGGTTTCAGAGATAACGGGAGGAACTGTGGCCGAGATGGGACGTTCTGGAACTGAGCAGTTTGTACTCAACTCTGACCCTGCCACCTACAGCTGTGTGACTGTGGGCAAAGTTACTCACCCTCTCTGGGCCTCGGTTTCCTACTGTAAAACGGGAACGGAAGAAAGTCAGGAGATGTGCCACAGCAGGGAGCTGTGGGTGCATTAGTCCACGTGAAGCCTGGCATTTTCTGAGTACTAGATGGTTAACCATTAGTAATATTTGTAAAAGGGTCTTGAACAACGTCTGCTACAGATCAATGTCTGGTTTCCTTCATATTTACCTAGAGAGATTTAAGGGGGATTGAGAAATGCTATCAACCCCAACTCAGGAGACAGAAGGAAGGGCTGTATATTGTCACCCTGATTATTTAACTTATATGCAGAATACATCATGAGAAATGCTGGGCTGGATGAAGCACAAGCTGGAATCAAGATTTCCAGGAGAAATATCAATAACCTCAGATACGCAGATGATACCACCCTTATGGCAGAAACTGAAGAAGAACTAAGGACCCTCTTGATGAAAGTGGAAGAGGAGAGTGAAAAAGTTGGCTTAAAACTCAACATTTAAAAAACAAAATCATGGCATCCTGTCCCATCACTTCATGGCAAATAGATGGGGAAACAGTGGAGACAGTGACAGACTTTATTTTTGGGGCTCCAAAATCACTGCAGATGTTGACTGCAGCCATGAAATTAAAAGATGCTTGCTCCTTGTACGAAAAGCTAGGATCAACCTAGATGGCATATTAAAAAGCAGAGACATTACTCTGGTCAACAAAGGTCTGTCTAGTCAAAGCTATGGATTTTCTACTAGTCATGTATGGATGTGAGAGTTGGACTATAAAGAAAGCTGAACGCTGAAGAATTGAACTGCAGTGTTGGAAAAGACTCTTGAGAGTCCCTTGGACTGCAAGGAGATCAAACCAGTCAATCCCAAAGGAAATCAGTCCTGAATATACTTTGGAAAGACTGATGCTGAAGTTGAAACTCCAAATCTTTGGCCACCTGATGCGAAGAACTGGTTTGTTGGAAAAGACCCTGATGCTGGGAAAGATTGAAGGCAGGAGAAGGGGAAGACAGAGGATGAGATGGTTGGATGGCATCACCAACATGATGGACATGAGTTTGAGCAATCTCCAGGAGTTGGTGATGGGCAGGGAAGCCTGGTGTACTGCATACATGGGGTCACAAAGAGTCAGACACTCTGAGCGAATGAACTGAACTGAGAACTGCTGTCAATCCCAGCTGAGGAGACAGAGGGAAGGGGCACTCGGCCCCTGGAGAGATTCCCTGGAGCTGGACATTCATCTTTATGGGAAAGGGTTTGGCATCAACCACACACATACGTGGGTCTCACTCTTATGTGCGTTATATGACAGTACGTCTGAGGGGCCAGGCAACCTCCTTGGCATTAATCACACCTCTCTCTACTCTGTGGTGCAGTAACTGGGAGCTATTCTCACTTGAAGGGTGGGGGCACACACGGAGCTTTCAATAAATGCCTGGAGAACAGGTCTGAGAAAAACCTGAAGGAACATGGTTTTGCTGCTGAAGTAACAACACGAGTGAATCCCCAACTCACGGGCTATCCCATCATGAAAGGATGCGTCATCCACGGCAAAGAAAAAGCCCCATGCTGACGACTCACTTTGGGTCCGGCCTGGGAAGGGCTGGCCGAGGTGGAGGACAGTCACAGAAACGCAAAGGTTTCCTTAGAGACTGCTGGGCACCACCCCCGGGCTGCGAAGGGAGCCCTGGTTAAACGAAGGGGTGATTAACCTTGACTGTGGAAGCGTAAACAGGATAACAGCTTAAGAACATGCTCTTTTGTTTTCCTCTTAGCTGATGTTAGCCTGCCCTGGGTCTTCAGCTGGATTATAGATGTGAGCTTAATTACACTTAATAACAAGTAGAGCCTCTTGAGCTAACTGAGCACTGGGGCTAATACACATGCATGTTTCTGAACCCCATTCCCAGAAATTCTGATTCAGCGGGTTCTGCATTTCTAAAATGCTCCCAGGTGATGCTGCTGCTCGGGTCCTCCAGACCACACCTGGTTGTCCCACATTGCTATCCTCATTACCATAAATCGGTTCTCCATGCTCAGGCAGCCAGGACANGGTGTACTATCCTCATTACCATAAATCGGTTCTCCATGTTCAGGCAGCCAGGACAACAGGATGAAAGTCCCTAGTCCTCTAAAGAGTGTTCGGGGTAGCTTCTCACCTTTCTGGATAAGAAGGGGCTGAAGCACTCCCTCGCACATTTGTCAGTATCATTTAGTCTCTAATCCATGTGGTCACTTATGAATCAGAGCAGTTCTCGCCTGCTATTAATGTGGATGACTTCATGGCTGCTTGCTGTTTGCAAGTAAATGCACCCAACCCCATTGTTAATCATTTCCAATGAGGCTCGGGCCCCTGGAGAGGCACAAAGCTCTAATTTAAAAACACCAAGTGACCCAAAGGCAACTTTGGTCTTGTGACTCCTGCAAGTCACACTCCCATTTATTATGAGCTGAGCTGCTGAGATCTCTATAAACTGGCAAGTAATGGGGCTGCAATTTACTGGGACAATGCTACAGAAATCGGCCTAGGCTGCAGGTTCTGGCTTCTGGTTTGGCCCCCAAAGAAGGACTCTTGCATGTCCAGTCACTCTCTTTAGGGTTGCCAGGGGAGTGGGACCAATGCATCCTCCTGGGAAGCACTTTTCTCTCTTGTTCTCCCTTGTACCTCTCGGAGGTGGGGAGGGCAGGGAGGAATGATGGGGGACGGGTGCTGGCAAGCAACTCTGAACTGGACATGACTCATCTTCAAGTGCCCGGTGCTCCCTTTTCCACCTGACTCTCAGGTGGTGGTCAAGCAGCCTGGGGAACTCCAGGGTGCATGTGAGAACATCATGAGAGCAACAGGAGGGCGTAACCATTCCCTGTCAGTTCTCGGTTGCTGAACCTGGATCTGAATAACTAGGTGATGCTCGAGGCTTGTACAATAGATGACATGAACTGCCCTTGTCCTAAATGTTGGATGGGGTGGGTGAATTCTCTTCTGAGCAAACTAGGCAACTCCCAGCTGACCTGGGGGCTGTCTAGAATCAGAAAACATAGGTTCAAATCCTTATTCTGATAATCAATGTCTGTGTAACTTAGACAACTGACATTCTTTCTGTGCCTCAGTTTTCTCATCTCTAAAATGGAGGAGTTCTTAATATCTGCTTCCCTGATGGCTCAGTGATAAAGAATCTGCCTGCAACACAGGAGACATAGATTTGATCCCTGGGTTGGGAAGATCCCCTGAAGGAGGAAATGGCAACCCACTCCAGTATTCTTGCCTGGATGACCTCATGGACAGAGGAGCCTGGCAGGTTACATTCCACAGCATCACAAAAGAGTTGGACACAACTTAGCGACTAAACAATTTGTAGTAGATACTTTTTTGGGGTATGGGTTGATCAACATCAAACACCTCTTTTCTGTTAACAGTTCCTCCCTCTTCCATGGGGACTCACCCCTCTCCACTTCTGAGTCCAAGTGGTTTGGCCTTGTGGGCAGAGCTATGAGCCAGGTCTGCCCAATTGGAGTCACGGTGATTGCTCTGAGGTTGAGCATGTTGACCTAAGCAAGTCAATGAGAGACATTTCTGGGGTTTTCCTTGGAATTATGAGGACAGAGGCAGTTTCACTCTGTGAGGCAGAGAAAGGCGCATTTCTGACAGTACCCCTGGGGTACTGGCGTCCAGCCCTAGAACCTAATACCTACTAGTGCATTTTTCAGTTCCCTGCATTGATACAGTCTCTATTTTTGCCTAAGGTGGTTTGAACTGATTGTCTTTGCCTTCTTTCGGGAAGGCATCTCATACTGCATCCTAAGCTAGGATGCACAGATGGTTCAGTGATGCAGGACGCAGTGCTGGGCCGGCACACGGCAAGCCCTCCATTGTGTCAGCCAGGATTACTGCAAACACTCCCCAACTCCTCCCTTCCCTGTCCCAGGACACCCTGAGGCCATTCCTCTCAAGGCGCTACTCACCCAGGGTGCAAGCCTGAAGCCATGCAGCCTATTGTTCCCAAGGAGCCCCGTGTGGGGTTCCAGCAGACACAGGGACTTCTGGCAGAGCCGGCCTGTGTCCATTACTTCTCTGCCCATATCTTTCACGCCACCCCACTCTTTAGTTCTCATCCCAGTCCTCTCTGGGTAGGAAAAAAACCTATTTTTAAAGAGGCCATGTACCCTCCCCTGCCCCCAGTCTTCAAGAAAAGTCTGAATTGAGAGGCAATAAAAATCGATGATAACCAGGACTTCCCTGGTGGTCCAGTGGCTAAGATGCTGTGCTCCCAACGTAGGGGCCCAGGCTTGATCCCCAGTCAGGGAACTAGATCCCACATGCTGCGACTAAAGATTCCACACGCCAAAACTAAGACGCTGTGTGGCCAAATAAATAAAAAGATGGTAACCTACAATGGAGCAGGAAGGAAGGCAGTAGACAGAGCACTAGGCTAGAAGCCAAGAGACATGCGTTCCAGCCTTGGTCCTGCTCCCACCATGTAACTAGTCAGCAGTCTCTACCCCACTCACATCCCCAAAAGCCACATTCCAGCTGCTCACGGAGCCTCCTGTATACACTCCTCACACACACGCCCTTCCTGACTTCCAGGCTTGTCCAGAGAATTTATATTTCTCCTGCCTAGAATGTTCTTTACTCCACCCCTATTTAGGTAACTCTCTCTGACATTTCAGACTAAGCCTTCAGAACAGAAGTTAACAGCAGTAACTCAGACAGCAAACAGTCTTGGGTTCAAACCCCAACTTGACTCTCTCCTGGTTGTGTCACTTTGGAAAAGCTACTCAATCTTGCCAAGCCTGTGTTTCCTCATCTGAAAATGGGGATAATAGTGGTATATTCTTCCTAGAGTTGATGGGAAGAGCGAATATGACAATGTAACAAAAGCGTCTAGCCCAGTGTGCTGTGCATAGTCAGGGTTTAATAAATGTCAGCATTGAGAACTATTTTTAAATCAGAAAGGCTTGCTGATGACCAGCATTGGCTTACGTGCCTCTCTCGTATTCTTACGGGTCTTTTACGGGCATCACCCAGTACTGCAGTTGCTGTCTCCCCTTTAGACCATGTGCCCTCTGAAAGCAGAAACTGTGCTACCTTTACTATTTCCACCCCCTTCCTCCCAGTGTTCATCATAGCACTACCTCACAGTGGGCATACAGGAAAGAATGAATAGATGAATGAACTTGAGCAAGGCATTCAACCTTTCTGAATCTGTCTCCTTGTCTTATAAATGAATGGTCTGGACAGGATAATTTCTGAGACTCACTCCTGATTTCTAAAGCTCATAATTAAACTTATTTTTTTTGTGGCACCAAAAAGGGTCAAACCAGGACCATGGTTTGAAGGTCACAAGGAGTCACCTTTTGGCTCACCAGGACTGTCTGATGTTCAATATCTGGTCACCAGGTGGGGACTTCCCTGGTGGTCCAGTGGTTAAGACTGCACACTTCTACTGCAGGGGGCAAAGGGAACTAAGATCCCACATGTCACAAGGTCCAAAACCAGGAATATGGTTGTCTGGGAAGGAGTGAGCTCTTGGTGTCTGAGGGTAACCAAGCAGAGGGCAAATGGAGCCCTTCACAGAGATGTTGCAGGGAGGGCCCGTGCGCCAGCCGAACAGTGAAGAACAGCCCTGGGTTCAGAAGCAGCAAACATAGGGACTTACTTCATGGACTAGGAGCTAAAAATACAGAGGACGATGAATGACAATAGCCCGCTTGCTCCCTCACAAGCCCACACTGACACAGGCCTCCCGGCGCTAACTGATTCCAGGCGGCCCTCCTGTGACTGGGGGATGACAGCTGGGACCACACGCACTCAACGCATGTGGCTCGGGGTGGGGCAAAGATCAGGGAACAGGCGGATCCCGCAAGGTCTAGAATGTCTGGGGGAAAGTTCTCTTCCAGCTATTTTTAGATTATGAATCAGGTAGGAAAAGCATATTTTCACACAGTATTTTGTACTTCAAAGCTCCTTGACCAATGTACTCTCTGAAATATATTCATACCCACCTACCGACACACGCACACACTCCGTCTCTCTCCTCCCACCTCGCTCTCTCTCTCTCTCTCTCTCCCCCTCTCTCACAAACGTCAGGTCTTTCTTCCTGCTTTCCAGAACACTTTTTGGCCTTTGTCCACAGCTAGACCTTGCTGCTCATCCTCCTTCTTCATCCCAAACTGCCAGTATCCCTGGGTCTCGGATCATTTCTGTAATTTTATCAAATTAATGAAATCCTTTAGATATGAGAAAGGAATATACAAATGTCCACATGCAGCTACTGATACTACAATTACTTATTTTAAAAAACCCTATCTGGGACTTCCCTGGTGGCGCAGTAGATACGAATCCGTCTGCCAATGCAGGGGACACAGATTTGATTCCTGGTCTGGGAAGTTGCCTTGGAGCAACTAAGCCTGTGCCCCACAACTTCTGAGCCCGCACTCTAGAGTCTGTGAGACGCAGCTATGGAGCCTGTGTGCCCTAGAGCCCGCGGCTGCAACCACTGAAGTCTGCACGCCTACAGCAAGGAGAAGCCACCACGCTGCAACAAAGAGTGGCCCCCGCTCGCCACAACAGAGAAGGTGTCCAGCTCTGAAGACCCAGTGCCCCAAAAATCCTTAAAAAAAAAAAGCCTATTTTGTTTCCCACCCCTCTAAATTATGAATGTTACTACTTTCATTCATCTTTAACTCTGTCTTCATTTATTACAGAAATGACTTGATGTTACCAAGTTAGCCTTCAATGGTTCTTTTGATTTGCCCATGCTCTGTTATAGGACTCTGTTATAGTCCTTTGGTATTACCAGTTATAATTGTAGCATATACACAAATTAGGTTTATTTTTTCACATAATGCTGTGCAGTGAACAGGCTCCCACTCTGCTCTCTAGTTTTCCTCTTTTAATAATTGTACTTCATCGACCGGTTGCACCAGGCTTTCCTTAAATATTCCCACTATGGCCCTTCTGAGTAATATTTAAAATTTAGGTTAAAAATAACAGTGCAACCAAGATCTTAATGCAGAGAACCTTTCTCTTTTTTTGGATTATTCTTTCGTAAAAAATTCCTAGGTGTGCAATTACTGCAAGAAAGGATACAAATATTGTAAAAGAAATGTAGCCCACAAACATTTTAATTTTTCCTGCCTTGGTCCTTATGCAGAGAATGGTTGCTCCCCACTGAGGTAGACAGTTTGGATGAGGGCCTCTAAGATCCCCTTTTCTGTATGAGAGCCCATCATTCTAAAATGATGCTGCAAAAAGCCTACCCGTTCTGAAGTCAAGAGGCAAACATATGTGTTGGACATATCTGTGGACTCCTAGTGAACTAATGACTGCTCTGGTCCTGGAATGACACCAATGAGGTGCTGAGGAAATAGGAAATCCTGGGCAGGGGGTGGTGTGCACCCCACCACCCTGGTCGACAGACAGATGGATAGGCAAACCTCTTTCCCCCTTGCACACGTTGAGCTGCCCCAACCATAATGACTCTAATTATGAACACATGTACACAGACCCTTGAGATGGTGGGTCCCACCCCTGGCAGCCCATCTATGCCCAGGACTAGAAGACTGGTGGGGGGGGACAATAAGCTAGGATTGTGGGGTGGTGGGGGATCAGGTCCAGTCGTAGCCCCAGCCAGCGAGACAAGCCCCATTGTATTCAAGTCGAAACAGGGAAACGGTTTTGCTGATGTTTGTATTCTCCAGCTCCCCTGAGAAGCTGGATAATAAATAAGTGACAATAACAGATTGTACACTGTCAGCGCGGGTACTTTTTTGCCCCTAGAGAACTGATCTTTAATAACAGCACAGATGACATGTGGTGGGAGTTGTCGCTGACACTGGTGTTTTGTGGGCCTCAATAAATCACATCAGCTTGGAGGCTCATGAATGGAACCACTTGTTGGATGCTGTCTGCTGACCATCACTGGGTCCTGGAAGGATCCCGGGGCTATGAGTCAGAAGGCTTGATTCTGCAACCTCTTGACTGCTAAATTTTGGTCGATGATGTTACCAATCTGGGCCTCAGTTTTCCTATCTTTAAAATGGGTATAATTCTCTCACCCTCACAACATTGTTTGTAAAAGATTCTATGAGGCAATGATCACAAAAAGCCCTGTTAAATATGGCTATGACTATTATAGTCATAATGGGCCAAAAGGGTAAGAAGTTAATAGGTTTGGGAGCAGAGTCTCTAGCATCTCTCTTCTCACAGGAATATCATTCAAAGGATCCTCCCTTGCCAAGAAAACAGGTGCAATATGGCAAAGCACAAAAATCAGGTGGCAAAGGGCCCAGGGTGAGGGGTGGCAGTGAGGTGCCACTCTGGCTGATGCAAGTGTGGATGTGATAACAGTCATAACAAATGCATATAAAGTGTTTCTCACAGACAGAGCTGTGCTGAGTGCTTTACACACAGTATCTCATTTAATCCTCAAAAGACCCTGTGAGGCAATTACCCTCATTATCTGATTTCATGGATGAGAAGACACACATCTGGGGAGGGGCAGAGCCATGCCTGGAAAGCAGGGGACCCTACGGCCATCTTGCCTGCGCTTAGCGGTCACCTGCCTCAGCTGGCTGTCCCCACCCGTGCGGAGCCCGGCCAGGCCACGGAGCTAAGTGGGGGCAGGGGGCAGTGTGGAGGCTGCTGACTGCAAAACTCTGTTCAAAGGGCCGAGACTGCTCAGCCCTGCAGGAACGCAGAGGGGACCCTGGGAGGGCCAGGTCTCTCCATATTCCAAGAGCGTATATAGAAGTCAGGATTGATATGAGAAAACCTCCTGATATTTCAATGTTAACAACTTAATAAAACTTTGAAGAACTCTGTGAGTGGACTCCATTCCGAACAGACAGCTGTGTGTGCACGGGCCCTGGCCGCTGGCTCCCAGCTTGGGCTCTCTGAGGCAGGAGCTCAGTTCCCTTGCAGAGGTTCGCATTGTGAACATGGCCCTTCTGAAGCCAAGGGGACCGACTGTGAAATAATGACCGTCAGAAGAGAGGCCAAGTGCTGCCTACTAGGCTCTGCTGGGATATGGAGTACAATCACTTATAATTACAGATCCTAATCCTCGCAAGGGATGTGCTCTGGATCCCGTTTTGCACATAAAGTAGGACCTCAAGAGGGGTTAGTGATATGCACCAGGTTGCTCAAGAGGAAGCGGGCTGGAACCAGGAATGACTGACTCCTAAGCATGAGCTCTCTCTGCCTCATGGAGCAAATCACAAGTGTTGGGTGGGGAGGGACGTGGGCTTTGAGCAAAGGCAAGCAGGGAGTAGGAGTGGCCGGTCCTGTCCGCCGTTACCAACGAAGTATAAGTCAAAGGCAGCTCACTGGGATACTCACAGCACTCGGAGGGACCGCAGCCCGTTGAAGGAGTGGACTGGGATGCACCGCAGCCGGTTGTAGCTCAGGATCCTGCGGAAAAGGACACACAGGCTCTGTGGGCCCCTCCTTGTCTCAGCTATTGATGCATGCATGAGTCCACACTGTGCACCAGCCAAAGCAAATTGTTTCTTTACCTTCTCCAATTTAATAAACTGGCAGAAAGCACTCTAAGGATAAAGGGAAGAGAAACATCCCCTGCCACTCCAGGAAGCTCACGGTTTCATCTCCTCATTTCTTCATAGGCTCCTTAGCAGGCTGGCTCTCTGACCAACTTTGCTGTCATCTCCCTCTATTGTCAGATGGTGAGTGCTCACAGTGCACAGAGCACAGGGCAATAAATGGTCTGAAAGTGAAGTCGCTCAGTCATGTCTGACTTTTTGCGACCCCGTGGACTGTAGCCTACTAGGTTCCTCTGTCCATGGGATTTTCCAGGCAAGAATACTGGAGTGGGTTGCTATTTCCTTCTCCAGGAGATCTTCCCAACCGAGGGATTGAACCCGGGTCTCCCGCATCGTAGGCAGACGCTTTACCGTCTGAGCCACAAGGGAAGTCCAAATGGGTCTGAGCAAAATATAATTGAGTAGGGAAAATTCACAAATCACAGAAAGTATTCCAGACATGAACTTCTTCAGAAGCAATCAGGTGCCAACCCCTTTCTACCTGCCCAGACAGTGGTGTTACAACCTATTCTGATTCCCTTCTGAGATGAAGGTCTGCCCTGTTGCGGGTCAGCCACAGTCCTGAGGATCACCGGAGCAGAGCACGTAAGCCTGACGGACAGGGGACAGATACACTTTGTGCCAAACCCATGTTAAACACAGCAGCTCTCTGTACTCACAGGGTGGAGAGGTGAGACATGTTGCTGAAGGTGTAGTTGGTCAGCATGCCAATGCTGTTGTTGCTCAGGTCACTAGGTAAAGAAAACAGAGGGTCACATTGTACTGTTAGTTTCATGTGAAGGGGGTCTTCCCAACTTCCACACATGCACATGTGCCTCCCAAGCATCCATGCATTCATTCAGTCACCCACCCACCTATCTTCCCATCTCATCCCATGTTTATCCACCCATCCATTCATCCACCTGTCCATCTGTCTATCCACTTATCTTCCAATCCATCCATGTATCCAGCCATCCATTCCTCCATCTTCCTATATGTCCATCAGTCCATCTGTCCATCAGCTCATCCATCCATGTGTCCATCTGCCCATTCATCCACCCATCTGCCCATCTGTCTGTCCACCCATCTGCTTATTCACCAAGCTGTCCATCAGTCCAACCTTCTGTCTGCCTATCCATCCATCTACCCAACCCATCCATCCACCCATTCACGCATCCTCCCATCTGTCCATCATCCCGTCCATCCATCAGCCCATTCGTCTGTCCATCTACCTGTCCACTTCTCTGCCCATCTGCCCATCCATCCATATATCCACCCATCCATCTATTCACCTATCCACTCATTAGTACAAATGTTCATTTTCAATTGAAGATTTATTCAATCAGTCATTCAAGCAACTGCCATTTATTCATTCATCCATTTATACAGCTATCTACTCATCAAATTTATTCTACCAGCAAAACATAATACACAAGATAACAATTTCTTCTTGTTCTAGAGCTTTTTATTCCCCTTGATCAGTTCTTGCTTTCACAGTCCCTCCACCTTCCCTCTCTCCCAGCATTCATTTTTTCCCATCTGATCACATTCTTTCTTAGAGGGAATGAGGTTGGTGGGAGTGTGATCCTCTGCCAACTGCAAGCTCCAGGTTCTCACCAGGGATACATATCCAGAGCAATGGCTTTTAGCATCAGCTGTACATTAGCATCACCTGGGGAGCTTTATGTCTCCGAGGCCTGAGTTTCATGGCCAGATATTCTGATTTAATTAGTCCAGGGTGGGCTTGAGTATCAGTATTTAAAACAAAACCTCAAGTGCTGTGATGATTCCTATAATCAGCTGAGGTCCAGGGCCACGGCCCCAGGACTCCCTGCTCCCTTAGCACATGGGGCTCTTTCAACTACCCCTTGCCCAAGGATCCCGCTTGCCCTCTTGGCAAGGCAGCGAGGCTGTTGAGAGACAAAGCTCATGGACCAGCCAGCTTCCTGGGCCCCACCCACGCCTAGCAGCCCTGCTCCTCATTCAGGGGTTTTCCTGGGTTTTGGCAGACTTGGAGACAGTGGCAGCTCCCACCTGAAGCAATCTCAATTTGAACTATCTCCCTGGGTCAGGAAGATGTCCTGGAGAAGGAAATGGCAACCCACGCCAGTTTTCTTGCCCGGAAAATCCCATGGACAGAGGAGCATGAAGGGCTACAGTTCATGAAGTCACAAAAGAGATAGATGTGATTTAGCGACTATACAACAAAAAACTTAGAACATTTACTGAGTAACTAAAGAAGTAGGAAGAAGAAATGCCAAATTGATGCTTTGGGCCATCCTGAGTGCAGCCACTGCTTGGAAGAAACTGAAGACTAAGGGATCTCAGGAATTTAATTGGGAGCCTGGAAGGTCAGAGGCTCCAAACGCAAGGAGGGAGGTGATGCAGGTGGCTAACGAGGCTGGGCTCTGGGTACTTCTGTTGAGATCCTCACTGGGTGAGACCTGGCATATCTGGTTGGCCTGTTCTTCCTAGCTGCCTCTTGCGGCCCCACCTGGGGGGAGAAGTGCAGGAACGCCCCAACGGCTGCAGTGCTGTCCTCCCCTTCCTCTGCATCTGTTTCTTAAGCTCCCCTAGGAGAGAAAGCTAAACGTCCCGCTGACGCCCCACTGACGCTGGGCTCCTTACACGAGGGTCAGGTGTCGGAGGCTGGGCAGCTCCGCGGGCACGGCTGTCAAGTGGTTTCCTTCCAGGTACCTGAAAGACAGGCGCAGGGTCACGTTGGGCAGACAGACACTGCCTGGGATTTCTCAGGCTGCACTGGGTCTCTGTTTTGCTCTCTCATAGCTCTTTCCCCCCAACTTCAAAGCACAAACTACATTTGTCATCTAATATTTATTTGCATGATTGTTCCACTAAGGATGCTTTTCCACTGGGCTGCTAACCTCCATGATGGCAGGGCTCCTGTCTAAGTCTCTTCAAGAAAATTACAGATAACAAGGGAACATTTCATGCAAAGATAGGCTCAATAAAGGACACAAATGGTATAGATCTAATAGAAGCAGAAGATATTAAGAAGAGGTGGCAAGAATACACAGAAGAACTATACAAAAAAAGATCTTCATGACCCAGATAGTCACAATGGTGTGATCACTCACCTAGAGCCAGACATCTTGGAATGTGAAGTCAAGTGGGCCTTAGAAAGCATCACTAAGAACAAAGCTAGTGGA